CAATTTTGACCCAATGACGCTGCAAGAGGAAAAGTTAAAGGATCGCTAAAGTTAATTTTTCCTGAGGAGTACATGAATGTGTGTACCAAATTTCCCAACAATCCATAGAACAGTCAAGACATTTCACTCAAAACCACAAATGTCAACCTCATGTGGCGCTACAAGAAATGTCAGGGTATCACTAAGGTGATACTCACTCACCTTCAGATACATCGTCTAGGAACCATGTCTGTACAAATTTTGAGCCAATCTGTCCAGTAGATGTTTCAGTCTGGACCAAAATGGTAGACCGACCAACCAGCATGCAGACCTTACTTTGATCATTCAAATGTCCTCCTCTCATTTTACATCTTCCAGTGTACATTATGTAATGAGATAAATTCAATGTGTTGTGGACACAAAAATTAAATGCGACCTTCACTTAATTATGTGACAGCAGCATAAACTGAACTTCAGTTAAAGTTGTGGTTTATAGAAACTTAAATGTTTTTTTCTTTTTTCTATGACTTGTAACTAAACCCAGGTCATTAGAGATTAAGTAAAGAATCCACCACCCCTCACCACAATGCAACTTCCTATCACGCTATGGTTGACTCTCAGACTACCTGTTTCTACCCATGCCTGTTCGCATAATCCATAGTCCCTTAATTCCCTAGTCCCACATAATCCTTTCATGGTGAGAAGAAGTATTTCTTACTCTGTTCATGCATAGTGCCTGTATTTCCAACTGAGAACATAATGCTCACTTTACAAAATTTCAGGAGACTAGGCACAATTCAGTATGTCCTACAAACCTAGACTCCAGCTTGCTCTTGTCCCAGCCTGCCGGAGTCCAGAGTTATATAACAGATAGATAGAGAGACTGAAATAGCGCAGTGGTAGAAGGCTAGTGTGAAGGGATTAATCAGAAAAGGACAGTTAAATAATCTCTGAACTAGAAAACCAGGCTGCAGCTACCTTGTCTTGTAAGCAGTTTAAAACTGCTCTTAGGCAAAACAAAAACATTTAGAACTACCAGTGCAGGAGGTGAAGCACACACTGAGCATGAAGAAAGGGGATGATAGAGGAAATAATGGGGTGGAGATAGAAGATCCTTGCACTTTGGGAAACTTCAAGAGCTTTTGATTGTGGGTTAGATGGTTATTGCCATGCTACAGAAATATGTTTTTATTATTCACTCTGCTTTCTTTGTTGTCCTAGCAAATAGATACAGTACAATCTAGTCCGGCATGCAGAGCCCTCTTTCATGCGGCTTTACGCTGCCTTACTGACAGTAGCATGCCACACAATGTGCCCAACCCATAGCAACACTAAAGCTAATCCAATAGTGCATTTCATTTCTATTTTCACTTGTTGTAGATGCAAGGGGACCTTACAGAGCAGAGATCAGGAGAAAACGTCTTTATCCCGCTGCTCAGTGCGGCTTAGTGTATGCTTGAGAGCTGATGTAGCTTCACCACTGCTGTCTTTCCTCCATCTTTTTTTCTTGAAGAAGGCAAGTTTCTTTCTACTCTGTGGGAGGTTGCAGAGATGTCAAGCATTCAAAGTGCCGTGGTTGATGAGAGGGGAGGTTTTATGAGGAGACAGCATCCGGCACAGAAAGCATGTGTGTGTTAGGGTGAGAGGGGGTGGGGTTAAGGTATGTGTGCCGGCAGAGATACCATTTGTAGCCCTAAGGGCTTGTATTCTGCACCACACTGTTTTGCTTTAAAAATCAAACATCTTAGGGAGGTTAAAGGGTGCAAATTAAGCATCCTTATCAGTTACAAACTATTAGAATCAGCAAATATGCTCTACATTTCAGGAAAAGTAATTATTTGAAGATTAACCAGCTTTTATTCATCATGTCACAATTTCTATTTTAAATCTAACCTTTATATGTAACAGTTTTTATTCATAAAGTAATTTGTTTCAGGGAATGAATAAAAAAATATTCAAATACACCAGCGTAGGAGGACAAAAAGCAATTTCTCTTTGCTTTCAGAGATTTGAAACACAACATATTTCACAGTTGAGTTTCAAAACATCAAGAGTGTGCTAAGAGAAATATTGGGATCGGGTGTGCTATAGCTAAATCATTTTTAAATTGATTTATAACAGTTATATACGGTAAACTGCAAATATACTGACAGGCTGAGCAACACACATCCTCCAAAAATTCCCTCATTGTTACTTTATTACATTTTGGAAGATGGCTTCTTTCTTTGGGAGCAGGTTATGGCTATGCAGGGTTACACTGCATATCCTCCACATAAAGACACCCTTACTCTTCTTATTTAATGATGTGGAGGAGGACAGCTTCCTTTGCAGAGGTGGTAGTCTTGTATTGCCAGACCCATTTTCATACTTTTTTCTCACATTTCAGGAGAAAGGTCAGACAGTAGAACATGTTATCATTATCATTTTCTTGAGGCGCATTTTGCTGAGGGCAATGACTCTTGACTGATCATCGCGGTTTATAGTCCCTATAGATTATCGTTGACGATGTATGTCCATATCATGGTAGACATTTTTGCTGTTGTTATTGTTGTTGTAGAAACAGGGAATAAAAATAGGCAGCATGCACATAGTGTGAGGGACAGTGGAATAAAGTAAAATGCAGAATGAAAACACTAAGACAGTGGGTGGCCTATGTCCACATCCTGTGAATCTGGTTATGGAGGAGGTGGTGGGACTTTTTCTATGAAACAATAAATGAATTATTGAATGAGATTGATTCATCAAGGCTCTCCTGGTGGGGTCATTTACATGGTTTTACTGCATTATTGCCATTGCCTCTGCTTTTAGTGATGGCAACATGGCAACAGTGCAGTTCATTTAACAAGCAGGCAGTAATGGGATGATGAAACCCTGTCTACTGGAAATTACTTTTATATTCATACTATTTGTTTGCAACATTATGGTTCTTCTTGGGAGATGCCACCTGAATTACATATTTTATAAACATAATGAGGAAATGTTTTGAATTAAAGTGTCAAAGTCCTGCACTTAGTATGCCCACCACCCCCCTCTAACCACATCCCTACAGGGTTTATGTGGTACAAGAAGGGTACATCATATACTCCTTACATCCTCAAAAGACAAAACATAAAAACAATTTAATCCAGGTAGGGATTACCTTTACTCCTGTACTTGGCAAATATGTTTACATAATTTATAGGAGACATTCTGGCCTTAATGTGCATTCAGAGCGACAATTTTACCACTGGAATGTTTATATTTATTCACCCAAAATGGCCAATGTACCAACTCTATGTTAGCTATAAACTAGCTAGCAATGGACACACCAGCTGTGTTTGTGGGAGCGTGCCTGTGTGTTTGTGTTCAGCTCAGCCGCTCATTGATCTCAGAACTCACCAGAAACTCAATTTCTTTCCGTAATTACCCTCCAGTCTCTCTCCATTTTGCTCTTGTCTCTGTACATTCATGAAGCAGATTCATTTGAAACATTTTCAACTATTGCAGACTAGACTTTTCTCAATTCGTGCCGCCCCGGGCGAATTTTCCATTGACTTCACATGCGATCGTGCCACCTCTAAAATTCACTTTATGTTCTGTCTGAACACACAGTTCGATTTTGAGGTTAGACCAGAGAAAATCAAATATCAGCTACTGTCTCTCAATACATTTTGCTGTAGATTTCTGCATCTGATTGACAATGGCACTTCTTGGACAATCTCAGTACCATATCCTGATCTTCTATTTCTGGCCACGCATAAACATGTGTTTCATACGTTTAGAAATGAAGGTATTATTACTGTAGGTATCATCGTGATTTATCTTCCTTATAGATGGTCCTGTAGGATATCTGCTCTAATTAGCTAATTTACTGTACTTAATTTATTGTGACATGGTTACTTTTACTTTTGCTGCATTACAAGTTACAGTCAGCAATGGTGCAACATGAAAATACTGTCATATGTAATTTTCCCTTATGGCAGATATAGCCACTGATCTACACACACACGACAGCTAAGATCCTCAGTAATAAATAACATCTCTAAAAGTTTTTCACTTAAGTAGCGGAGCAAAGCACATGCATGAACAGATGCACGCATGCATACTCAAAGCCCTGTCAGAAAAAAAGGAGTGGTTGCATTAAGTGCTTTATTTACTAATTTTTAGCCACGCTTTACTGTGCCCACCCCTCCCAGGCTTTCCCCCAAGAGGCTGCCATTAATTCAGCACAGCCCTCTCACTGCTTCATTAATGTTAATCAGAGCTAAACATAACATTAGATTCCCTTCAGCATCCTTTGAAAAAGGCTTGAAGGCATGCCTGTATATGTGCATAACTACAGTATGTTTGTTTAGTATAAAAGGGTTCTGATGTTCAAGTCTACACTTGAGGTGGTGTCCAGGAGCATCACGTGCAGTAATCAACATTAAAGCACTCTTACAACATGCTATGTGAGAAAAAAATCATCTGTTGTGTCTCAGTGGTGAATAATAACCCCCCTTTGAACAAAACTAAGACAGATTTCTTTTTCTAAAACTTTTTAGAAAAATATATTGGAAAGGTCAACACAAGCAGAATACAAAAACAATTTGTCTCTTCTAAGAAATATTTATTTTGCGTTAATACAATTTTTTTTCAAAAATAAGTTTTTTGTAACTGATTTTGCTACAGTAAGTCTGTAATATCTGTATTATAGATGATGTGATGCTATGCAGTAAATTATGGTACATATAGTTTGATTTCTTAAGCAGCTAGAGAAACAGTTCAATTCAATCTAAATATAAAGTTATTGGTCACATACTATTGGTCATATTTCTAAATAATAAAGAAATAGGGACTTAATAATTATATATAAATAAATAGGCTTTTACCAATGCAAAGATACTAGAAACGATTCACGGTGAGTTCATCCCAAATTGTATCCGATGCACTCCCTTTTAATTGCCATGGTATCTTGAACCTTTATGCCAGTGCAGCAATGTGAATCACAAATAAAAATGTTTTTATCATAACCATAACATATCTACAAAATGTGACCTCACCTGCAAAACCACGCTTTGGTCAAAGTTGTATGCACTGGGCCGTCCCTCCAGGGTGGAGAAAGCCACGTTTCCTCCGGTCAGCGGTGAGATATCACTAAACTCATCTGTACATAGAGCAGTCCTCTCATCATCTCCTGGGCGAATGTAAGCCTTAGCATTCTTCATGTAGGTCTTCTTACAAGAGGCGCTGTAATACTGGTAAGGCAACCACGGCCCATCCTCTTCTGTGCGCTTGTAGACGGCGAAGCTCTCCGGTCGGCTGGTGTAGAATTTTAATCGTATATAGGTTATCTCAAAAGCCTTCCCTGTGGAAAAAGAGATATGATTAGCTTTGAAAGGAATCATTGAAAGAATTACTGTTAGAACTAGATGCATTGTAGTTACACAGTTAGATCAGGGCTGGTTATGTAAGAGACAAATACCTTGGGGTGATAGCTTAGGGCCCAGGAGCAAAGAAAAAAAACGGACATAATTGCATTATAGAAAGAAGGAAAACAATAGGGGATAGGCTTAATTTCCCGTGCCTCCATGCAGGGTAAATGAATGTCATTCCTGCAGGAGTAGAAGAATACCCAGGATTATTTTCTCATTATCCAGATCATAATGGGCCCCAGAAGTGAAACATAGGTCAAAGGGAAAGAGACAAAAAAGTATTTCTTTCTTATATTAACTATAAGAATAAACCAATGAGTGTAAAATCACAGAAGGGAAAAGTGCCTGTATTGTCATCACTGGTTGAAGATATAGTCTGATGCAATATTTAAGGTGAAACAACAAAGCCCCAGACCTAATCAATAGAAAAGTGATTGGTCAAACATGGAAAACACTAACGAGTGTCATGGGGGGACAAGTATGCCACAGAATTAAACATATTGATTGAATGATACATCTAAGGTGAGGTTTTAGTGGTACATCAGCCATTTGGGGGCATGGAGAGAAAAAAAGAGAGAAAGTAAGACTTTTCATAGGTTTGTATTCCCCCTAAAGCAGTGATTCGACTTCAATCTATGAAGAAGGAAAAGGGTTTCAGAGCACAATCTCTGCCTGTGGAAGAACGGAAGCAAATGAGGAGATATACCCAGATTTCCATTTGAGTTGGCATTGGGGGATTTAGCAGATCTGACTAGGTTGCACTGTAATTGCTGTTGCATTGTAACTGAAGAAATATCTGAAAAGTAATTTCTGAAGGTGCATAATAAGTGGAGGGACGAGTCTCCCAGGTATATGTTTAATTAAATGAGAGGAAAGGTTAGCAGAAAGAATGCATTTTGGCATCTTTTTTGCATATTGCATACTCATATGGCTTGAATTAATGGGTGCTTTTTCTTCAAAATGCTTCCTGTGTGGAAAACTGGAGTGGGGAAGTCATTAATTTGCAACATAGGTGTTGTCCTTATTTGGTATAGTAGGGAAGCTGACATCTTCTTTCCTGATCTCAAAGCAAACAGAGAATCAATGTTTCGTTTCGATTGAGTGGTGTCATTTCCTACCATTGTTTACTCAGTGTGGAAACTTCAAACAATAATCTTGGCGCCATATCAGGGACACTTGCTGAGATATACTTCCTGAATATGAACACACATTAAGAATCTGCCAAATGTTGTGCAGCTTTACGGGGGATTAACTGGGCAGACACGAACTGAAGTCATATTGAGACCAGAGTGAGAAGTAACATGTAGAAACTCTCTTAACAGGCTTCTTCATTGCACTCATGGGGATTTTTTTCTACATCATTAGATACTAAGTCTCAGCCGTTCTGCACATTCATACAGGGATGCCATCCACTGGTACAGCCATAATGACATCTGTTGCTTTTCTCTGCCAAGTCAGAACTAGGCATCTCTGTCTCTTGTCTCTGCAGCAATCTCTAATGGTATCTTTCCTTTAGGAGAACTAAGATCATTTAGCTTTCATTTACTCCCTGCATGAGGTGAGTTCAGCCCTGCGGGTACTGAGTCACAAGCATAAAAGAGGCACAAGATGAAACATTTGTTGGATATCCCCTGTGATGAAATGCAGACTAATTGCAAATGATATTTGTATGTTTTTATGCAGAATGTTCAATGATTCGTGATTTATCCTCATTCAGGAGCGCATACTTCATGTATTCATTGGAGTTTGAGGGCACATCAGAGGGCTTTTTTTAGTTCTTGCATTTTAACCAAAAACAGTACACATAACAAAAACTATCTATAGATAAAGACCCCCTCATGGTAGAATTCACACATTTATTTTCACAGTTTGAAGAAGAAGTCACACTCTGTTCACTGAGCGACAGGTCTTTGAGCACTGAAAATTAAGACAAGTTTGGAAACCTATTAAAAACAGCCTGGTGTGACTTTACAGGGCTGATTCGGAATCATGTGGCATCACAAATCAAACCACAGCTGTTCATATGTCGTGCACAGACACACCAATAAAATGACTATTTGGACTACTTTAAGAGTAAAGGCTGGGAGCTGTAGCAGTACAGCATCTGACCTGCTTTGAGTCATTAGTGTCAACTTAACACAGCTGCTCTCGTCTGCCCAGACTGAGACAGGCTGAGACTAAACTCACCACAAGTGCTGTAGACTCAATATTTACAATCTGTTTACTCCAAGCTGAGATTTTTGTGATCAGCAAATACACGGATGAGTGGATTTATCTTCTAATCGTGCTGCGTCTCAAAGTTTACAAATGAAATAGAATAGAAGAAAGGAATTGCATCTCATATGTGTGCCAATGATCTGGCTGTGAGAGAGTCATGCCAACTGTGGTAGACTTTCATAATTATTTTACATCTCAGACAGGATGTTGCTTTTCTTTGACGGCGCTGAATGAGAACCAGCTGCAGACATCAATGTGTGCTGTTAGAATGTGCGTGTGTGTGTTTCTCAAGTCTTTGGGAAAAACCTGACCCCCATTCCTTACCAGCAAACCGCCCAGAATTTTCTTTTTTTCTCCCCCCTTCTTCCTCATTATGTTTTGTTTACTCCCCTTGAAGCAGCAGAGCTCCCCCTTTTCTTTCTACTCTTCCACAGACCCACTATGACCTGGCTGCAGTATGTGTCCCTACATCCTACTGCTGTGTTTATCATCCCAGCATTTGCCTGTATTCCCTTCAGAGAGAGCTTGTTTTGTTTGGAGAGGCAAAAGAAAACAGTAATGTCGAAGACACCCCCCACCAGCAACCCAGATGGATCACAGAGCTTTCATATGGAACAAAGGATGCCACACATACAAAATTTATGTACATTCAGTTACATAAAATTGTGTGTTATGAAAACACAATTATCCCTTTTTGAAGAATGCTAGAATAACCCACAGGCATCAGGTAACACATGTTTGGGAGATGTGCCGAGAGGGTCAAAGGTCAATTTAGTCTGAGGGAGACAGACTTGTGGGTGTTGGGATTGTTTGAAGAATAACAAACCCTCCAGACAACGCAGAACATACCTCCGCAGCAGCAGCATTGCCACCTTTCGTGAGTAAAAGAAATAGCGATTATAAACAACAAAGCCTCAAAACACAGCCAGATGTCAACTTGCTATTGGAAATCAATATTCTCCATTTGACGCAGGCACTTCTTCCTTCAGCGCACGTGATATAACAGTTCCTCTATGGTCAAAGCTTTGACATTTTCAACTTCTGTCATCATTTTGTCCCTGTGTCTTGTTCCTTTGAAGCAGGGCTTTTTGATGAGGAGCGCCCACTCTCCACCTACAGAGGAGGGGGGAGGAAATCTGATCTGTCAAGAAAGTTTCTAGTTTTGAACAAGAACTGTCTTCACTGACATATTGCTGGAAGTCCAAACACACACATATACAAAAAATATAGTTTAGGTGATTCATCTGACAATAGATGAAATTACTCGTAGTGACAAACACATTGTCACAGCAGACAAAATTTTTTAGCTGAAAGCCCAAAAAACCCACTGTATGCTTCTTAAACGGCAGACAGACTAGAGTAAACGACTAACTGGTTAACATGATGTAGCATTAAGCAGCTAAAAAGCCAGATATTGGTGAAATTGGTGGAGACCATAAATAGAGCTATAAGGACTATATATACTATAAGGTGGCCAGAAACACAAATTCAGATTAATGATAAAGCTGTTCTATGTCTGCTTGATCAGTAAAAAGGCATCTGTAACTACATCCTTATCCCTAACACAGACTTTGAAACCCTTTTATTTCTTATTTAGAATTCTGCTACCAATTAGACAAGCTGTCAGTCAACCTAATCTATGGTTCAAGTCCAAAATTTGCCCCTAGATGTGACCTACAGTATGTCTTGTGCTCTTACTGGTTGTATGCAGTTGGAGAGGGTCCACAGAAATTATGAGTATCCATCCATCCATCCACATTTTTTATCCATTTATCCTGTACACAGCAGTGAGGAGTGGAGTCTATCTCAGCACACATTCTACCTCAGGGTAACAGATTTTCACTCGCATTCACCCACATGGGCCAAATTTGAGTTAATCAAAGGTTGGGCAAGAATTCCTGCAGGCTTGTTTTCCTAGTTTTTAGTTTCCTATAGTACAGGAGCACACCGTTTCAGTTTATTAATTGATTACCTGCATTATTTAACATGGAAATATGTTTACTTGTCAAGAGTAAGATAAGAAGATTTGACATAAATAATGTCTGTCTGTAAATCAATGGCCTCCTGGAATCTCAACCGGTTACCTGACAACCGTAAAATGACAGCAAGACTGCAGAAGGCAACATATTGCAAACAAGATGTTAATTAGATGTTAACAACATGTTACTCATTAGCTTTATATGTGCCATTTTATTTAGCTTTGGACAAAGCCAGGCTTTCATGCAAAGCTAAGCTAACCATCTAGTGGCTTCAGCTTCATTTTCAGTGGATAGATATGAGAGTGGTATACATTTTCACATCTAACAAGAAAGCCAAAAAGCGTATTTCCCAAAATGTCTAACTATTCGTTTAAGATTAAATGGAGGAGTGATTGTGGGCTGTGTAGGTCAATTTGTTATTGGGTTTGCTGGCTTGTTATCAACCTGCCTGTGGCACAATAGGCCTGTAGAATAGTTACAGCTGACTTCTCTTGATTTGGTAATATATTCAGTATTTGGACATTATGCTGTTTGTCATTTGCAGAGCCAGAGGAGAGTAAAACCAAAGAGGGGACTGGTTAAACAGCACAGGAGATACTGTTTTCAACCCCTGTATTTAAACTGAGACCAAATTTAATTTATTAAAAGTAAAAAAAATATATATATTAATTTAGATTATTTCGTATTAATTTAGTTCAATAATGGAGGGGGGTGGCAGTTCCTGTATATGTCCTTGTACGACCCTCTGTTACAGACACACACACACACACACACGTACACACACACACACACACACACACACACACACACACACACACATAGCAGCTCAACAAATACATGGAAAAGGGAAAGGTAATTTCATACAAAGATTTGTATTAATGCTTTGTAACATTAATCGCCACCATTTAATTCAGTTAAAGTGACAAATGTGGTCTGTTACTTATTACAGCAGTTTTCCACAGCATGGTAATGGGATAATGATGCTAATGGCTCAAGCTGGTCTCAAAAATTTTGTGAGATGAGGAATGTCTTCAAATGCAAATAAGTATGCAGTGTACAAAGAGTGAGTCAAATGCATTTTCTCCAAGGAAAATAAGTAGGCAATCCTAAGAACTTACTAACACAGAAATAATGCAGCGTGGTAAAATTGGTGCATGGTTAAACATTTGCTTTGAACTGTGAAGACCAAGGTTTAATTCTAAGTCCAGCACAAATCAAGTGAAGTTTAATTATTTAAGCTGATGGTTTTCACATTTTACTATGACTATACCCTAATCCCAAACATTTACCATATCTGCTCATAGTGTAACCAAGCTTTTACCCAGCCTAAATTTATCCTCATCCTAACCGTGGTATGCTTGAGCCAGTTATATTGACTGTTTGTCAAGCTTTTCAAGTGCTGAACAAAAAAGAAGTGTCCAAACTGAACTACTGTCAGACAAACGTCATGCTGAAGAAACTTAATGTCTACATAATACAAAAAAAATCTTACTTTTACTTAATAATGCACTTGTGCTTTCAATAAGTTGTATCAAATGGAAAGGCAAACACAAAGTCTTTCTCAGTTTCTATAACAGCTGCACATCTTCCTGAAAAGTTCTGGTACCTTCTGTTGCTGGTTTAAACTGATACAGTGAAGACAAGTTGTTTGCTGTTTAGATATTTAGCTGTAATTCTTTGGTTACAATTGAGTTTGACAGTAACTGTGTTAACTATAGGTGTTTGAACACATTTCAAAAAACCCATAAACTAAATTCAGCTTAAAATACATTTGTAAGGGATTTCTCTCTAAAAGTTTTGTGAAAACTTTCATGAAGGGGAAATTAACATAATTTCAAGTGACAGTACCCCTGCTGACCAAGTCCCTGGCTATGGAAAAATGATTCTGGCTGGGGGGTTAATGGAAGTTACCTCAATGAAACGTAAGTATCTCTTTTGAATTCCAAATGCATTTCATGTAAATGCTTGGTTAACTTCAGTTGGTCCCAATTTCCTTATCATAGTCTTATTTCTACCAAACTTAGGGCTTTTCTGCATGTTATTGGCCTCTTATTGCCTAGAATTTCTCCTAAAATATTAAATGACTTCTGCTCCATTTACAGACAACAGGTCAGTTGTACATGTAGTAAAACATGAAACCTAAAGATGCTTAATTGAGCCTGTAGCAGAAGATTAACATTGAATTTGTAATGTGATGTAATGTGAAATGTGGATTTCATGCTACAATGGTTATGTAAAGGTTGATTTGTGGTCATGGTCTGGCCCAAATCATGCTGGGGACATGTTTCTATGAAGTCTGTGTGTCATGGCTGCATTCTTGTTGAGTTTGGGCCCAAATAATACCCTACAAAATACCTGATCAGCTTGAGTTGTGACTGTATTGTGGCAGCAGATTCGGATGGGTTCATCACCAATACTCCATGGTGGTATGTGGGCTGAATGAAAGTAAACGTGGGCCAACACTGAGCCATCACTCAGTTGCTATCTAGGCATGTCAGATGCAACTGGGTGTCATCCTCATCCCCTTTAAATCCAACAAAATTCTCAGACATGCCCTTGTGGCTATGCACTCACAAACTCTCCAAGTTTAAGCCACGTCTGAGCCAAAGTGTTTTTCATTTAGACAGCTCAGATCTGCAACTGAATAATACAAATCATGTGTTGTTAAGCACAGCTGTTTTGTATTAAATATTTTCTCATCAATTCACTACCAGTACATAAAGTAAAGACAGTTTGTCAGACAGAAAAGAAAAGTGAAAAACTGAAGACTCTTAAACTCAACTGATGTGAGGAAAACTAATATGAACCATTGTGAAATCCCATCATGACCCTCTTAACTCTAGAAACCATCTGCATTTAATCTATAACTGATATTCTATTCCTGGACACAGCAAATGCAGTGCATGTGAAACCCTTTCAAGCACTTTAAAATAAAACAGGACATTATACACAACATTATAGTAACAGAGACCATAACTGAACCCTGAGCACACATTCTTGACCTACATCCCTCCACCCTCCTCCCTACTGTGCAAGTCGAGGAAAGTCAAACCAATAGATTCTGGGGTTCAGAGTGAACTGAAGATGTGCTGCTGTGCTCTTACCCAGGTGAAGGGTGAGGTTGACAGAATTGGGGTGCTGGATACCATAAAACATAGACTGGCTCTGCCACCACGTGGGCTCCTCATTCCTGTTGAAGTCTGTCAGGAGGCTGGCATTGTGGCTCAGGTGTGGATCTGAGGCATCACAGTAGTGGCATGAGCGTGTTGAGCCAGTCTGCATGCAGTAGTCCTCAGGTGGGGAACCACACACGTTTGATGCCACCACAGTACGACTGAAGGCAACGTTCTCAAACTTGGGCATGCAACGGCTTGGGGCGCCCTCCTCGTCATAGCAAGAGTCCATTGCGGCCCAAACAAGGAAGTGGCAGTGTAGATGAAGAGAGAGCAGAAGGGCCAGGAGAGGGACGCTCACAGCAAAGGATGTATCCATGTCTATATGCAGTAACAATTACATTTACACTTCACAAACAGACTTTCACATTCATATATTCTGATACAAAGCCGCAAATGCATCAAGATCCTGACTTGAGACAAGTAATCCAACAAGAAAAAAGTCCAGTCCAATGTGACTCTCTGTTCTGTCTCTGTTAAGTCTCCAGCATGTGTTCTCCCTCTGTGGAGTGGAATGAAGTTTGTGCAAGAACTCCTCTAATCAGGGGCAGCATGAGACAGACAGAGGAGGGACAGAGGTGGGGGCTGGAGGGTAGAAGAAGTTCATGAAAACTTCTCCACCTGCTGGTCAATACAGGCACCACACCACCATTATCTTCAGATGTAAAGCAGACTTGGGTAAAAGAATCTCTTTTGACAGGAAAAACACATTCTATAACATCTGTAAAAAATGCAGCCGTGAGGTTGTTGCACCTCTGGGCATTGAGATAGTGAGTACCAAAGCACCTGCATTCACCACTTACAGGAACACACAATATCATCGATATGGTGATAAATGTACTTGGCAGTTGGCCCCGGAGCAGGACGTTCTGGTAAATGCTGACTCTGGTGATTCACAGTAGAAGACTAGAGGTGCTAAAACTGTCGGGAATATTTCAGCAGGCACGGCTCATCTCCATAAAGGGATGTCGCTCAGGGGAGTTCTGTGACCTAAAGGGACAATTTATTTATACAAATAGTGTGAATAGAGTGAAAGAGCTACACTGCTTTTTGAGCTAGATCCACTAAAAGCCTAGCTATCGTGAAAAGTTGGAAGTCATTTGCATATTCCTGTAATTCATACTGACTGCTTGGGGTCCTATATGTAACCCATCCATCAATGTTTGATTGGACTTAGCCATCAATTAAAATATGGGGAAACTATGACAAGTAATTATAAGTCATTGCAGTCACCAATACTAACAGAACTCCTTTCAATTTTAGCAAAACAGACATTTTGTGTTATCTTCATACAGATTGTAACTAATTACCAAGCAAGGTTTACTAAAGACGTATATGTGGATTTTGGGGCTGGGACAAGAGAACATTGTCATCTTCGCTTAGACGATTAATCAAAATAGTTTTAGATTAGTTTCTATTGACTGGTTAATTGTCTTTAGCAATCTTTAGATCAAATTTTATTCAAAACTTAGTCAAACCTGACTACTGTGCTACCATTACATTTGTTTTCCCACCAACTACAGTTCCAAAGTTGAAGGAAGTCCCTCAAGGGAAAAGTCCAACAAGTGGCTGTAAAGAGCACCAACCAACAGGGTGTAATGCCTAAATTTATACATTTTTTTAGTGTTGCTGAATTCCACTAGAAATTTGGCACAATCATCAAGAAAACCAATGAAAATTTGAAGCGACAGCGCGAATCAGCCATTGTATTATTAAAATAATAATAGGATCAAGGTAGAGATTGCTTGAAGTAGACAGAGAAAAGGAAGACCAACAAAACATAGCAATATGAAGACAGATAGCATGAAACAGAGAGAGACAGGTAGTGTGGACAGATGCATTTAGATGCTGTACATTTATGATCCCAGTAGGATTTACTGCAAAGTCTTTCCCATATCTCCTTGTGATTGCCTTGATTTATTTGGGCTCTATCAGTACTCAGGCAGGGACATTGTAAAAGGGACCACATCAATTTGCAGTGAAATCGTCTGCTGGTTTTGGATGAGAGCAGGTATGGCTTCAAATCTGTTTGGCTGTATGTGGATCAACCATTATGATTAAGAATCTAATGCTTCTGCAAACAGACATTTATTCATCAAGCAGGATCATTATTACACCTGTGCTGTATGTGCATTCTGTCAGAACACAACTGTTGCATGTGTTTGAACAACATGCAAACAGAGAACTATATACACTGATAAAAGGATGGGGGATGCTGGAAAATGTTATACAGAAGACACCAGAAGATGCTACAGACGAGTTTGCCTTTCCAGGTCTGTTGAATTAGGATGATAGTGCAAATTAATCTGCAGAGAATAATGATTTTGACTTTACCTGTGACACATTCGGCAAGCTCGAGAGCCTCGCTGTTAAGTCTCCCAAAAAAAACAGAGAAAACTCAGTCAACAGAAGAAGTCGTACTCATCAGTTCAAAACTTTGGTCAGTATTTGAGCTGCCTGAATGAGCTCAGCATGGGGCCTGTTGAAACTGGGGGGAGAGTCTGCAAAGCCCCTAAGGGTATACTATTTTCTGGGAACCCCTGCTGTTTTGCAAACATAAAGACAAGTCAACCACGCGCTTTCCTGTGACACAGTAAAAGAAGATAGACCACACACTCAGAGACTCAGCTTGTCAAAATCAATCTGCTGACATACAAACAAGTTCCCATGTCAAATACAAGCTGTAGGACACAAAAGTGCAGAAACGTACATCTTGCGTATATGTAGTTGCGCTTTTTCTGAATAAGTTGTATCACCAAGGAGTTCAAGGTTCTACTTTAGAAAACACTCCCTTGTCACCTCTTTTTAGTACCAAAAAGGTAGACATCACAATGCCACAATGGAAACTAATACATCTCTGTTTAGAGTATTTACAGAAACAAAGTGCATTTGCAGCCGTCTGGCTGGTTTGGGTAAGATCTGGCAATGATTTGTGTTTACCTGAGCAAAGCCAGCTCCCTTTCACTCCCTGCCTAAGCCGGTGATCAGACAAAGTTTCATGGTATGCTGGTTCTACCCTTTTTGCAACTGAAAGTGAATACAGACAGAATATTAATTCGAAATGGAGTTTGTTTTAAATTAGATTATTGTCAGTCTGTTCAAATCCACACAGATTCCTTCTCATCCATCTGTTTTTGCCGTCACATTCTTCTGTCCTTTGTCTTTCTTTCCACTCATGTCTTTCTCCCCAAGCATCGTGTAATACTTCAAACTCCACTATGCCCTCCCACATATTCTCCTCCTTTCCCCTGTGTATCTTACCTCTCATATTCCTCTCCCTCTCCCTCAATGTCACAGATCCTTTAGCCTCCACCTGCCACCTACCCCTTTCATGCCACAGATTGGTGCAGCTGGCTGTCACGATGTTGAAGCTTGTTGCAGCGGGAGACTAGCAGGTATGGCCTCCTTTTTATGATGACACAATGTCGTAGCGATGAGTTACGCTCTCAAACAGTGATTTGATGTCACAGCTGTCAGCGCTTCACTTAGCAATGCAGGAGGCGGCTGCCATATCCCCGCAGGGAACGCGTTATCTGACAAACTAATGAGTGCCGCACAACCACTACGTCGTCACAAAAAAATGTCCTGGCATCACACACCTTTATGAAAGTCCTCCCTAGCCTGACAAAACTGTATTACATTTATGCATAAAAACTCTGTTTACTGTATGATGTTTTGGTCACAACATTGTTACTCACAAAGCTAAAATGTTCACATAATTGCGAAAATCACAGGTGTGCCTAAAAATCTCTTGATTGGCTAAATATTATAAATGTTATACGGACATAATACACAGTCATTCAATCACTAACTATTAATATTTTTGTGTTTTGTCCATTATGACTGACTGTGTTCACAAATTAATTCATCATTGTACTTGTCAAAGGGACAACCATTCAGCCTCTAAAAACGGTTTTGCTTTCTGTGCTACAAATGAACCTTTTCAGAGTTGATTTACATGTAAGGTTGCAGGGTGTTAATATACCAATGTTTGAAGTGTTGTGACTCTTTGTATATATCTCACATCTAATCTATAAAAAGTGAACATATTAGGGCTGCTGCCTAATAGTCGACTTAATTGTTAGTCCCTGAGAAGAGTCTCAGTCGACCCACTTTTCATTAGTCGGATTGTCGTCAAAATCTGTCCGGGAGCTTTGCATTGTCACCGGGACGAAAGCATTGGGATTGTTGCAACACAGACCTTACAGATGCTAACTGTACTAGCTGCTGCCACTAGCTAGTTAGCGGGCCTATTAGCTGACTGTACCTGTACTGGAAGCTTGGAGGACGGGGGAGATCAAACACTTACTGATTTACAGCAGCTCCAACCAAGACTTTGACTGCATGGATGAAGACACTGCGGGTTTAGGCAGGGACAGGCATGACATGGAGGAAGAGGAGCAAGTTTGCAGCGAGTTAATTTGTAAGTAACTGTTAACATTATAAATCATGCATTGTGTAGATAAGTCGGCGAGTATTCGTTTTTGTGAAGTTGAGAGTTATTTATTCAGTGATTTCTCACAAGAAATTACTACAACAGTACTCTCCTGTACTTTAAAGGAAAAAATAAGAAGTGCACAGATAAAACTATTTCTGTTTCCATAGGAATGTTGTTATTTACTAGATCTATGGCTCAACACATTTAGCTTTACTGGACAGTAAATAATACAAACTGCAAACTGCAAACTTCTTCACTATCAATATACAATATTTTTCTTTGTAAAACCTGAATAAAATTAGCAGTATTGCCAGATTGTCCTTGTTGTAGTTGTAAATGCCAATCCTCTGTTTCATACTGGCAAAACACACAAAAGCATCTGTGCACCAGAGTTTTTGTTTTCTTTCCACTTTTGCAATATTAGCCCTTGTAGATTGTAGCACAGTGGAACCAACTTTCCCTGAAAAAATATCCTAATTCAAAGTGTTGTAGTAGTGAGTTACTTTAAATTTGTAAAAAACTGTAAAATTTTATTTATGGTTAAAAGAAAATTAAGAAAGAGAGAAAGAAGGTAGGGTGTGATGTTATGAGCTCCTTAATGGGGCCTCTTGGTGAGTATGGGCCCATAAAACCCACTATTAGGCCATTGGTGTGCTTAAAAGGAAATGTGATAATGAACTAAAAAGAGGGTCTAGAGTCCCATTGCATGCTGATTATCCATTGCCACAAACATGAATATACTACACCATCAGGCCTGTCATTTCACATAACCATATCCCAGCATGTGACTTAGTATGGCGTGATAATAGCACGAGTCCTGAGTCACGGACCTTTAACAATGACCTTATTCAGACTGAAAATGACCAATCATCTGTAACTTCAGGTCTAGACTGGAGCATTACATTATTAGCAGAGAGCTGTAAGCTATGTCAAACAATATCTAAAACCACCGGACCACACGCAGGTGTCAGAGAAGCGCTGATAACTTAATGACTTAAGCTATTACTAATGGATGAATGGACATTAATTACAGGGAAAATGTTGTTTTGGCCTTAAACATAATAGAGGAGAAAGAAGAGTATAT